TTTGCAGTAGGAGTAATTTCGCGTAAAAGCGAGGCATGCTGTAAGCTTTTGCCGTAGAAGTAATAGCGCGCATACCTAATGTAGCACTCATATCGGTGGCAGTACTTACCGTAGCTTTAAGCGAGGAATAAGCTTTGCAGTAAAAGTTATGCCGCGTATAACTAGCGTCGTAGCCTCCCGTCGGTAAGAGTATTTGACATGGCGCTAATGTGTACCACCGACTGACTCTGATTCGGGTATATCCATGGTTGGTAACGTTGATGTTGTGTGCGCTTTATGTAACTGTCCTCAGGATTTTGAAGATTGCATTTGGAAGGTCAGACACATGGGGGGTGACGCCACGTTCCTGCGCGAACGACGGATCCGTTGAATTTCGAACGTAGGAAAGTAATTAGAGTAGGCGTTAGATGACCGAAGATCACCAAAGTTAAATCACCAAATTTTGGTGCATGATATCTAACATGCGTGTTTCATCACAATGAAAGACTGTTCTATAACGTTTTCACCACTTTTGTTGGTAGCGTAACTACCGAAGTAGCAGTCATACTCTGGCACCTGCATCCTCGTTAAAATTCAAGAAAACTCTAAGCATGGACTTCCTGATTTGGATCCTGGATCCTGGATCCTGGATCTGGATTTGGATCCTGATCATGGACTGATTTAGCAAGTGGTTTTGGACCGACAAAACTCGATCGCATCTCAAGGACCTTCGGCAAATAATATTGACCTTCGGAAGATTACAAAGCTTCGGAAAATTCCAAACCTGGAACGGTTGTAAGAATAATTCCAGACTTCTTACCCGTGTAGCTGGTGTATAATTTGCTAAGATATGGAAGCGTAATCAAATGATTACAAACCAGTTATGATCTTGAAAAAGCAGCCGATCACCTCCAGAAGGCCTGCTGCTTGCACCCAGATGTTGTTCAAACTGGAGCTCAGCAGGGTGCCCCAAGGTCACGCATGGCGCTGTGCCGCAATGGAGATGTGCCGCCTGTCTTGATGTTTTCCATCATTCATCTCTTCACCTCTGGACGGTGCCATATCAAGCGTGGTTGTTAAGGGCACGGAATAACTCATAGGAGTGTCTCACATTGGAATGTGGTTCTGCACTGGAATAGTCACCTTGAAGATTATTCGGTGCATTTCATGGTCCTGCTATTCTGAAGACCTAAAGGCCTCTAGTTTCTGAGCTACACACTGCGAAGATATGCAAATTACTTCGGGGAGACTGTTTCATGGTCCCCCAGGCAGCCATAGTATTTGCCTGCAGTATTGCCATGGTGTTATGATAACGTCATTCAGATCTTGTCGTTATATTGATCATACGGCAATCAAGGCTAATAAATATATGACTGGTAAGTTGTCTATGTGTAACGTTCGTGGGCACTGTTCCAGATATAACGACCATCACTTGGCTCTCAATCAATGTTTGGCAAGGTATAATGACGTAATCAATGATGTATTGAGGGGATTTTTATTACACAAAGAAATTGTGTTGTCTTGAGCAGTCTTTTCCACTTATGAGGACGCCAACAGTTCTAAGTGAGCCTATTTCATGATACCGGATAGTTGGTTTAATATTTTTAGATGTGGAATATTCCCTTTAAGAGGTAACCATTACATTGGCATGCAAGTAAACGCTTGTTATAAAAACAGCAATGAGCAAAGCGCATGCGTTGATGATGATACCAGTACTGCATTTATGGTAGAGCATTTTGTGTGTTAGCGAGCAAACGGGCCGTCGCTGCCGGCGCGGTAGCGGCGTCTCCGCGATGGTGTGAGCGACCCCTCTGCCGATTGGTCCTCACCATCTGGTCACGGGTTTATCACCATCACGGTCACGTGGGTTTATGGGACACGCGGGCTGGGACGCACGGTCTCTGTCAATCAGTCCACGTTCAGGCTTCGACGGCGCGGGTGGACGCGAGCCGCGTCAGCGTTCATGACGACGACGACGACGACTTCGGAGTGTGCGACGCCGCCCCTCCATCGCCTTTCTTACCTTCATTTTGCAACTCTTTGGCTTATAGAGACTCTTCCTTTTCAACGTCTTTTTCTCGAATCAAGTCGATGGTCCTGCAGAAAACTAACGAACTCTTTCGCACGAACATTCTGGTCCTCCGGACCGGGTGTAAGTGAACTGGTGAACTGATTTCAGTGTTCAGTGACGACGAAACGCAGTGTTATCAGTGATGTCTGACAACCGGCCAGGACAAGACGGTGATGCAAGATCAAAACAAAGCAGGACGTCCTACCGCACCCGGAGTGACGCAGGCGCCAGCACAGCCTCCTCTCGCCTCAGCGAAGCTCGCCGCCGAGCTGCGCTGAGCGAGCTCCAAGTGGAACAGGGGCAGCGCGCGATGGCAGTTAAGGCGGAGCTGGCGCGGCAACAGGCGGAGACAAAGGCAGCTCTCGAAGCCCAGGAGTTGAAGGATGAAGCGGAGCGCCGCCAGCTGGAGCTGGAGCTGCTGGAGTAGGAGGAGTGTGGATCTCTGCACGCCGGCGACGCTGCGTCATTCGTCAGAGGCCCAGTGGGAGCTGCAGCTAAGCCGCCCGTGCAGCAGCTGTATGGGCAACCGCAGCCGGACGTCTCAGCCGCACGCACCAGGGAGTGGCTCTTCCAGCTGCAAGCGAATGTGCGACCAGCCGGTGCAAAGCCTGCCAATGCCTCGCCTGCACCTGTACCTCTGCTACAGCGGCCGACCGGTGCTGAGAGATAGGCGATTCCCCACCTGCTGCGGATAAGGCTGGACAAGTTCAGCGGCTCCGCTCTTGAATGGCCGAGATGGGTCGCCCTGTTCAAGGCGCTGTGGCACGATCGGGCCGACCTCACAGACGTCGAGAGGCTGACGTATCTGCAAGCACACCTGACCGGGCCGGCAAGAGAGGCGGTAAGTGGAATGCTCTGTGACGCCAGCCTCTACGGTGCACCCCTGCGTGAACTAGAAGAGGAAATTGGCGACCCAGCGCACGTGATATACGCAACTATGAAAAACTCTTCTCGGCACGACCGGTCAGAGATGGCGAACTATCTGCTTTGACCGAGCTGTCACGAGACCTGTGCACTGCAGTGAGCATCCCGTAGTGTCTGCAGTACAAACCTGACCTCGCCGCCGCCACAAACGTCACGGCTGTGGCCGGCAAACTTCCTGCCAGTCTGGCATGGAGATGGGGAGAGTGTGTCGTGGAGAACGGCACCACTCGCCCCACTCTAATCGACCTCGGCGGGTGGCTGCGTCGGCATGTCGCTGCTGGTCGTGTGGCCTCGACACAGGCGGGCCACAATCCGTCACCTAAAGTTGAGGGAAACACCTCAGAAGGCCGACCGAGGCGAGTGTTTGCCACAGCGTCAGTTGTAACGGCCGTGAAATCGTGGAAGATTGCAGCCATAAACCCGCCGGCGGCCGCGGGACGTGACGCGTGTGCCATGTGTCAAGGTACACACAACATACGGTGCTGTGACGCATTCCTGGCGTTGACGGTGAGCGAGAGGGCAGAGTTTGTCGGCAGAAAAGGACTCTGCTTTAACTGCCTGTCTCGTGGTCACATCAGCGCCAGCTGCCCGTGGGACAAGAGATGCGAGGCCGAGCGCTGTGGGAGACGGCATCACACGCTGCTCCACAATGGCATGCCAGTGTTCTCACGACGCAAAAAGATTGACAGCTCGCCGCCAGCTACAGGCCCTCAACACGTCGGCACAGCGGCGACTGAGCAACGCAGCCAGGTTCCACTACAAGTAGTGTCCATCACCGCGCACGGTCCCTCGGGGAGTCACACAACTCACGCGCTCCTGGACCAGGTCACGCTGGTGACCGACGACCTCTGTGACCGGCTCGGTACCTCGAGGCCCTCGGACGGGGTGGTTCTGAGTACCCTAAACGGAAGTGAACGGCTCCAATCACGGCGCGTGTGTTTCTCAGTCCAGCCGGTGGGCAGCGGCGACAAGAGGCACGTTGTCCAAGAGGCTGAAACGACGCCTACTCTGAATGTGTCGAATCATTCAATGGACTGGTCAGTCGAGAAATATAGCTGGCCCCATCTCACCGAACTCGACATTCCGATTACGACCAGCGGCCCGGTGGAAGTGCTGTTGGGAACAGACGTGCTCGAACTGATCGTGCCGCAGGAGGTAGTAGAAGGGCCGCCAGGGACGCCGAGCGCGGTGAGAGCTCTACTCGGCTGGACTGTGACCGACGGCACGCCGTGGCGGTCGATGTATGCACCAGGTGAATGAGCGTGTGCACCACGTCCTAGTCAGTGACGAAAGGAGTGTTCGTCCGGACCTTCAAAACCAGTTTAAGCATTTCTGGACGGCAGAGGCCTTCGGCACAAAGTACGAGAAAGCACGGCAGCACTCAGAAGCCGACCAAAGAGCGATGTCCATCCTGGACAGCACCACCAAACGGGCCGGTGATCGGCACGAAACCGGTCTCCTGTGGCGTGAAGACGATGTGCAACTTCCAGACAACCGTGAGGCAGGCGCTACCCGTCTGAGAGCGGTTGAGAGACGTCTGGCTCGTGAACCCGAACTCCGTCAGTCGTACCGTGACATTGTGAACAACTATGTCACTCAAGGTTACGCGAGCGAGGTGAACGAAGCTGAGTCCGGTGCGCAGGGTCGAACGTGGTACCTGCCCCACCATGCCGTGCAGAACCCTAACAAACCGGGCAAGGTGCGGGTAGCGTCCGACGCCGCGGCAAGGTGTGGTGGCACGTCACTGAATGACAACCTCATTAGTGGACCCAACAACCTGAACTCACACACTGGCGTGCTCATGAGGTTCCGCCGGGGCCGCGTGCCGATAGCGTCTGACGTGAAATAGATGTTTCACCAGATAGCCATCCGCGCTGAAGACCGACAGTCGTAACGGTTCCTCTGGCGAGACGTGGACACGACAAAGGACCCGGAAACGTATCAAGTGAACGTTGTGATATTCGGTGCCCAGTCGCCACCATACACGGCAACATACATGCCCCGGCGCTGTGCGAATGACGGAAAAATGCAGCACCCTCAGGCGGCGAACAGGGTAGTCACCGGGTTCTACGTGGATGACTTCTTAGACTTGGTCGACACCGAGAGCGAAGGCCATCTAACCAAGTGGACCAGCACGTCAGAGACGGTGCTGCAGGATATCGCACCTGAGGATAGGTGCGATGAGACACGCGACCTGGACCTGGGCAACGAGGCACAGTGGAAAAAGACGCTGGGAGTCCACTGGTGTGCCCAGGATGACCAGTTCAGGTTCAAGGTCAAGGCCATCAGGGGTGAGAACACGAAGCGCTCCATTTTGAGCAGCGCCTCGGCGGTGTTCGACCCGCTCGGCATGCTGGTTCACCATCCGTTCTAGTTCACCATCCGAGCCAAGTGCATCATTCAGAATATCTGGCTGGGAGGATGGGACCGGGACGAGGTCATCACCGACGCAGAACTTCTCGCCCACTGGCAGCAGGAACTGTGTGACATGGACCGTGTCCGAGTGAGCCGTTGTTATCTTCCCGATAACAGGGTGGTCGTAAAGTGCCAGCTGCACGTGTTCGGCGACGCATCGGAGAATGCGTTCGGTGTGGTGGCGTATCTACGGTTCGAGTTCGAAGACGGCGCCGTGCACTGCAGCTTCGTGACGTCTAAGGTGCGAGTCGCGCCCATCAAACAGCTCAGCATGCCCCAGCTTGAGCTGCCGGCTGCGGTCATGGCCGCTCGCGACGCCGACATAATCAAGGCCGAACACGACACGACAATCCACGAGACCGTCTCCTGGTCTGACTTCTCTACTGTGCTGCAGTGGATCAACAGCGAGAGCCGGCGGTACAACACGCTCGTCGCCAATCGCATCTCCGAGACCCAGGACCCGTCTGAGATGCCCCGGTGGCGTCATGTACCAGGCTTACTAGACCCAGCTGACATCCGCAGCCGCGGCTGTGCCGTCACGGGCCTGGCGCCCTGCGGCGTGCGAGTTCAAGGACCCGCCTTCCTGTGGCGCTGCCCTGATGACTGGCCAGCCGCGCCTGCCTGCCTGACAGCCCACCCCGGAGACGAGGAGGCGGCCGAAATGAGGGTGACAGCGTGCGTCACTGTTCCGGCGGCGCCGGCCATAAACGCCAGCCGGTACTTATCGTGGCTGAGCGCCGCGCGCAACAGCATGAGGCACCGCTTCGCCCACAACAGCCGTACCAAGGCGGATCGACGATCGGGGCCACTGACCGTTCACGAGCTGCGTGACGCTGAACACGTCTGGCTCCGCAACGCTCAGGCAGAGCAGTTCGGCCCCGAAATCGCCGCTCTGCAACAATGAAAACGACTACCAACGGGCAGCCATCCCCATCAGCTAGCGCCCTTCATGGACCCGAGCAGCCTGCTGAGAGTCAGAGGGCGACTGCGTCATTCCCACGCTGACCACGAGAGCGAAGTGGTGCAGAGACACGGCCGACATTATTCAAGTCTTACGTGTTCTATCTGCCCGGACCACACACGAACGCTGCGAGATGGCAACTGTATTAACCCGCGAGGCGAGCAGGCGGCGCCGACTCTGGAGGGCGGCGCCCCAGGCAGTACGCCGCCGGTCGGGGCAGCGGCGTACCAAGGTGCAGCGGCACTGGCGCGCGAGCAGGGGCGGTCTCAGGCGCACGCCAGTAACATCACGATACATCTCCCCCTTTGAGAAAATACAAATAAATGATAATACGCTTGCGAAACGAAATTACTGGCTACAGACTGCTGCTTCCCTGCTGCTTCCCCGCTGCTTCCCTGCTGCTTCTCAGACTGCTGCTTCCCTGCTGCTTCCCTGCTGCTTCCCTGCTGCTTCCCTGCTGCTTCCCTGCTGCTTCCCCGCTGCTTCTCCGCCGCTTCCCTGCTGCTTCCATGCTGTTTCTTCGATGCTTCTCAGAAAACGCGGCCACTGCGCGTTTTACACGGACTGAAACTGAGCAGTGGCGGTGGGTCTTGAGTCTGGGGCACTTGTGCGTTGCAAGGCTGGGCCGTAGCTTCTGTCAGCGGCGGCAGCGACGGCGGCGGCGCCGCTGTCGACGCGGGCGACGGCACAGCTGGTGGTGGCCGTGGCACCACCGACGGTGGTGCAGGCGCCGGTTCGCGCAGCTGCGGTAGCAACAGCATCGGTGGCGCCACCTCAGTACGGCGGCCAGAGAAGAGGTCTGGAGCGGGCACCCTGTGTCCAGAACGGTCAGCACGCCGCGTGGAACCGTGCTGTGTCAACACCTGAAACGGAGGGATCTGCAGCAGATGACGTCGGTTGCGACGATAGCGAGCATCCTTTAGCTCCACAAGGTAGCTGCGTCTAGAGAGCTTCCCTGTGATGGTGGCGGACTCGGACCAGCTTGCCTCCTTCTCCGTCTTGATCCGAACATGATCCCCGGACTGTAGATGCTGAAGATCGCGTGCACCGCGTCTTCGGTTGAAGCACGTCTCCAGCTTCTTCTTCCTCTGCCGACCTCGGAGTTTGGCATTCTGCCATGTCGCTTCTCCGGCTGGCTGAGCGATGGGGAGACGAGACTGAAGCTCGCGTCCCATCAGGAGACGGGCTAGAGAGTATCCAGTTGCTTCCACAGGCGTCTTGTGGTAGTTGAGGAGGGCGAGGTGGGTGTCCCTCTGGCGAAGTATCCATTTGGTGGTTTTCACGGCCCGTTCAGCTGTTCCGTTGGAAGATGGCGTGTGCGGGTCTGTGATGCGGTTTTTGAGGCCGTTGGACGCTGTGAAGTTGGCGGACGAGCTTGAAGTGAACTGCGTTCCTCCGTCTGTTGTCACGAGATCTGGTACCCCCAAGCGGGAAAACAGGCGCTTCAGACGCTCGATGACCGCGCTGCTGGTGAGACTCAAGAGGCGTTGTATCTCCAGATACCTACTGAAGATGTCAACCGTGACGAGCCAGTTGCAGTTGTTGAAATGGAAGACGTCTGTTGCAACGTGCGTCTACGGTCTTGATGGCGTTGGAGTTGTCATCAGTGGCTCAGCGTGCTGGGCGGGCGCGTTCACCTGACAGAACGAGCAGCTCTCGAGATGACGCTTCAGGTCGATGCTGAGTTGAGGCCACCAGATCGATACTGCTGCCCTCTGGCGACACTTATTTGGTCCTAAGTGTCCGTCATCATGTAGTCGGGTGAGCATTTCATCTCGCAGACTCGGAGGGATGACGATGCGTCGCCCGTGCATCAGCAGTGTACCACACGTTAGGTACAGAGCGCTCATCTCTCCCCGAGAGGCGAAGGAGTCCAGCAGGTCGGGATGCTTCGCTCCCTCCTTCCAGCCAGAGAGGGTCTGCTGAACTACGCGCTGTAGGAGTTCGTCTGCTTGCTGCACCTTGCTGATCTCCACCAGACTCTGCGGTGTAGCGGGAAGATCGCTGAAAATTATCTCGCAGAATCCATGTATGTCTTCTTGAAGCACAGCGCTGATTTCATCCCGCTTCTGCAGCGGGTGACGCGAGAGGAAGTCAGGCACCAGGTTCTGCTTCCCTGGAAAGAAGACTGCTGTGGCGCTGTATCGCATCAAGCGCATGAGCATGTGCTGGCATCTGATCGGCGCATCCACGAAATTTTTCGTGTTAACCAGCGGGATCAGAGGCTTGTGGTCCAGATGCAGCTCGAACGGCGGTAGTCCAGATCTGGTCCCATCTGGTCTCGGTGTCAGTCAGGCTTTTGCTGCAGAACGCGACGGGTTTGAAGACGGAGCCGGGCTTCTGGAGAACACATCCTCCGATGCCGAAACTCCTGGCGTCGACGCTGACCACCGTCTCTCGTGCTGTATCGTAGAACGCCAGACCTGGAGCTGAAGTGACGGCTGCTTTCACGTCATCTAGCGCTTGCTGCTGCTGTGGTGTCCAGATCCATGCTACGTTCTTCCTCAGAAGCTCGTTCAGTGGTCTCAAGCACTCCTGGATGTGTGGAACGAACCGGCCCAGGAAGTTGATTACTCTGAGCAGAGACCTTAGTTCATTGACATTCTTTGGCGGTTGGAGCTGCTGGATCGCTTTGAGCTTCTCTTCGCCCATGCTGATGCCGTTCTTGCTGGTCTTCATCCCCAGAAACTTGACCTCGTCCTTCCGGAACTCGCACTTTTTCCTGTTCAGTTTGAGGCCAAACTCGTGGATCCTCCTGATGACGGCTTCGAGACGTGCATCGTGGCTAGCGGCATCTCCAAACACCACGGTGTCGTCCATGTAGACGTACTACGGGCAGTCCGTCCAGCATCTCCTCCATCTTCCACTGGAAGCACTCCGGTGCGAGCGAGATCCCCATTGGCAGTCGCAGGAACCTCTTCCTGCCGAATGGAGTGATGAACGTGGTCATCTTGGAGTTCGCCTCGTCCAGCGGGATCTGGTAGAAACCGGAAGAGGCGTCCAGCTTGGTGAAGAGCGTCGCGCCACCCAGCTTGGAGGTCAGCTGCTCCAGAGTAGGGATCGGGAACACCTGTCGGTTCACAGACTAGTTGAGTCTCTTGTAGTCAACCGTGATGCGGACATCGCTGCTCTTCGGCTTCGGGATGGGGACCAGCGCAGAGACCCAGTCCGTTGGCTCGGTCTCCGAAGTGATGATGCCGTGATGCTCCATCTTTTTCAGCTCCTCTTCCACCGGCTTCATCAGTGGCAGCGGGATGTTTCTTGCAGTGGCAAGGGCGACTGGAACAGCATCTTCAAGGAGCTGAATGCTGACCGGTGCTGTCTTCAGGAGACCTGGCTCTCCGAAGACGTCTTCGTTGACTTCACCTGTGAACCTCAGTACGCCCAGGCTCGAGCAAGCAGACCTGGAGAGGAGATCATCAGCTGAGTCAACAACGTAGAACACTTCAGGCTCGGCTCTGTTCTTGAACATGAGTGTTCCGTGGATCTTTCCTTCTACTTTTAGCACGCTACCAACACTTCTCAGAGTATTTGAAGCATGTCCGGCATGCGGCAGTTTCAGCTTCTTGTACGTTTTCAACGTCAGAATGCTAACATCAGCGCCAGAGTCAACTTTGAAAGCGACTTGTTGACCATTTAGAAGGACTGTAACACTCCACGGCGCGCAAGCTTTGTCTACTTCGCCAACAAAAATGTTGGGCGGCGATAGTTGTTCAATGGACTCTGTCCGCACAATCGCTCTGACACCGTTGGAGCGACAAACAGATGCAAAGTGATCCATTTTCTGACAGTTGTCACAGATTTTTCCCTTAGCAGGACAATCTTTCGGAGACGCATGACGTGCTCTTCCACAGTATCTGCATGCTGTTGAAAAGTCGGCACGCTCACTATGCTGTTGCCGTTGCGCGGTGGAAGGCTGCTGTTGACGTCTGTACTGCTGGTGCTGCTGCTGTCGCAGGTGGTGCTGCTGGTGCGGCTGCCTGTGCTGCGCCGGTGCACAGCCCTACTCATGTCATGCGGACCAGAGCTGTCACGGCCGTTCACGATCTCGACATAACGCATCATCGAAATGACGGTATTTACAGACACTCCCTCCTCTAGTGACTTCAGCTGAATTCTACGGGACAGCTCCCCGTCAGACATTCCTGAGATGAGACGATCTCTGATAGGCTCATCAGCGTCAGCGAGGCTGCAACGCTCAGCTAGAGAGAGCCACGCTCTGATGTACGATTCATTAGTCTCGCTTGAGCTTTGAGATCTAAGCTAGTTGTGACGCTCTGCAATCAAGTTCCTTTTTGGAATGAAGTATCCGTCTAGCTTTGGGACAACAACTTCAAAATCCTCATTCTGCTCAGCAGTAAGCTTAAATGTTGGTACGATATGCTCAGCCTGCGCACCCATACTGTAAGTCAACGCAGCTACTTGAACGTCACCGTCCTCTTCGTGTAGTCCCGATGCCAGTCTGTAGCGGAACCGATCACGCCAGGCCGGCCACCTCTCCGGCGATGTGAAGTCAAATTCCTCAGGAGGACGAAATCCAGACATCTTAACTTGCTTCACAACTCATACTGCCTAAATTAATGTGCTGCTCACGCTTGCTTAAGCTTATCTAGGTTCAATGCGGCTGCGCCATATTCGAGTCTTACGTGTTCTATCTGCCCGGACCAGACACGAGCGCTGCGAGACGGCAACTGTATTAACCCGCGGGGCGAGCGGGCGGCGCCGACTCCGGCGGGCGGCGCCCCAGGCAGTACACCGCCAGTCGGGGCAGCAGCGTACCAAGGTGCAGCAGCACTGGCGGCGCGAACAGGGGCGGCCTCAGGCGCACGCCAGTAACATCACGATACAGACATCAAGGTCGGCGAACTTGTGCTGTTGGCGGACGATAGCGTGCCCAGTGGGCACTGGCCACTGGGACGAGTGGCCCGCGTGCCCCCTGGCGCAGACGGCCGGGTTCGCGTTGTGGACGTGACGACACCCACCGGGCAATATAGGCGGCATATCACCCGTCTCTGTGGCCTCGAGCATGACGCAGACGAGCGTTGATGTGATGGGACGGTGACTGTGCGCACCCCGACTAGCGAGTATGGCGGTGCCGTGCGACACTGCCGCACTGTGACCATGTGCGCCGCGATACTGTAGTAAGTAGTTCATGATGTCGTGTGTGACACTGCCATTCTTGCTCGACGCGCGCCGCGAGCGTTCGCTCTGTAGAGTGTAGACGTAGTTTATAGCCTTAGTGTATAATCGCTCATCAGCTCTACGTGTAGCTGGTGCAAAAATGCTCGCCTGCCGCGGACGAACAGTGCCCGTTAGTTAGCTGTTGATGTTTGTAGTGTTTCAAGGATAGTGTTATGTTTATTCGACATGTGTAGCGTTTATGACCCATACATTGCTCGCTTGTAGTTAGGACTTTCCGTAAATGGCGCGAAAAACCTATGTCAGCTATGTCAGCGAGCAAACGGGCCGTGGCTACCGGCGCGGCGGCGGCGTCTCCGCGATGGTGCCAGCGGCCCCTCTGCCGATTGGTCCTCACCAACTGGGGCCCATATGTAGGCCACGTGCGTTTATTGGACACGCGGGCAGGGACGCACGGTCCCTGCCGATCAGTCCACGTTCAGGCTCCGACGGCGCAGCTCGACGCGAGCCGCGTCAGCGTTCACAACGACGACGACGACGTAGACTTCGGAGTGTGCGACGCCGCCCTTCCGACGCCTCTCTTACCTTCATTTTGTAACTCTCTGGCTTATAGAGACTGTTCCTTTTCGACGCCTGTTTCCGAATCAAGTCGATGGTCCTGCGGAAAACTAATGAACTCTTTCACACGAACATTGTGTGTCATTTGGACTTGACGACACACTCAGCTGCTGAGGTTATATGGCGTCGTCTGCCTCTCACCCTGGCAGGAACGGCGGGCACCGCGGGGAATCGAACCCCGTACCTCTGGTTTACCAGACGCGCAGCTCAACTACTAGAGAGTGAAACCTTGTGGTCGATCGTTTAAAACAAGACCAACTACCAATGTCACGTTCTAGATAGCCAGCTTTAAAATGTCATCCACTCAGAACGTAGTAATATTGAAAAACTAGAAATGTGAATCAGACTACGACTTGATGCCATTATAATGTATTGGACGTGGCATCGGCTACTGTAAGAGCACCAGGCTCCGGCCACCGACGTGTCATCGGCTACGGCCGCTGTTAGGTCGATGGTGCCAAACGTTGTGAAAGATAGTTCACGCGAAGATTCCATGTGCTAATCTTAAGCTCATCTGATGGCTTGTTTCGTGCCACTTACTGTAGTTTCTTTTTTTAAATTGGGAAACGTCGCCTCTTGATTGTCCATCTCTTTGTGTGGAATAATTCGCTGGCTCACCTTAATCATCCCGCCCATTTTAATCAATAGTAATCAATTGCTGGCATCTCGTCCTAAAAACTCTTGACAAATATAATCCGGTGTCACACTTCTTCGGAGAAGGAGAAGATCAGAGAGATCTATTCCACGAAATAGTAATAAGAGCTTGCAGTAGCGGACATCCGTGCGAAAGAAGCCGGACATGACTGCCGCGCAAGCTCTGAGCACATTGGCCTGTCCTGCAAATCACAGCGATCTGGCTCGTCAGACGCAGCACTCCCTGTGGGGGAACGCTGCCAAGCACACCACGGTGTTGCGAAGCTGGTGCCGATGGCCATCTTGTCGCTCGTAACAAGGCTGCGAGCACGCTGGACCCAAAACGTAGATCGCTCCGAGTTCGTGTAATATCTCTACCCACAGACGGGCTCGTTTCAGGATTTCCGGCTTTTGATTGGCATGGTTTTTCTTTCGAGCTATGCGTTGCGAGCATCGTGCCCATGCATTCATAGACGCGCCCGGTCCAAATAACGCATGCAACGAGGCGCAATTATTGCGTGTGCTCGGAGCGTCGCATACGGCGCGGTACGGTTCAGGCGGCATGAAAGCGAGGACATCCTCACTATTGTATTCACTGCCCCAGACGCTGCTGCGAGCATTCGCAGTCTCTGAAAGTAAAACGTGTTGAGTTCGCGGTACACTGTAAGCCTGTAATAAACCATGATTGAACATGTGTCATACCAACAATATGTCCCGCACTGCATGTAAGGCTTATAAGCTCCTACCAAGTAATATTGATAAGTTGGATATTGTGTGATATCTAACCCCACCCTTTTGATAAGACGCTTTTCTGGGATCGGTGCCCACGCTAAGCAGGGCGTGTTGCGTAAGCCCCGCCACCATCTTCAGAAAAAAACATTAAATGTGACATCACGGTTAACCTGGTCCTCATGCTGTGATGTTAAAGTCCCACAGAGGCAAAAAATGTGCCGTAACCGCCACATAGCTGCCACAGTGAAGAGCTATAATGACATGACACTAGAAACGTGACGTCATATTGTGCTGCAGCAGACTGCTTACGTCGCAAAATAAGGTAACAAGAAAACCTTGACTTTACAGCAGCACAGCAGGGGCGCAGCAAGGCATGCGTTGACGTCAAACCATCGCAACGGCAAACACCGTGACGTCACAAAAGAGCTGAATGAAACCGTGACGTCACAACAACGCCGCAACGTGCCCAAAACATCACGGCGGCAATACACGACCCATTGTGGCACCCAGCGGCACGGCAGCAGCCCTCGTGACGTCACGGCAGCGCGGTAGCTTCTCAGTGACGTCACGGCAGAGCCGCAGCCTCCTCAGTGACGTCACGGCAGCGCGGCAGCTCCTCAGTGACGTCACGGCTGCCCGCGGCCGGCGGCTCAGGGCTCCAGCTGGCAGAGCACCGAGCCGAGGCGCAGGTTGCACTGGGCGTTGCTCCAGGAGCCGTCGCCCTCGTACACCCAGACGCAGCTGCGCCGGCCGTTGTCCAGCACGGGCATGTAGCGGGCCCAGTGGTAGAAGTCGGTGGGCGAGCCGTCTAGCCAGCTCCAGCTGCCGGCGCCGTTACCTGCCGGTGGAGCCATCGCCCGGTGAGGTCAGGGGCAGACTGGGCGGTCAAGGTCACCGGGCAGAGCGACGGCTGGCCTGAGCAGGCGAGGTAATCTCGCAGAGTCAACATCACCGAGTAGGCCCGGGGCCATTCTACTGGAACAAGTTTACCCGGTATACCAGCCTGCTGGGCTTGACCACTTGACGAGACAGTCATCGCCTGACCTGGCCAAGGTCATGTGGTAAGCCAAGGTCACCGGATGACATCACGGGCATTGTCCTGGCCAAACTTCTGATTTGGTCGCCTGAGATACATGACCTGCCGCTCGAAGGCAACTACATTGAGTAATAGCGGTGGGGGGGGGGGAGCGGGGGGGGCCGGTCTTTCATTGTGGCATGCGGCACTTCATCTGCATCTGTTCTGCTGTCCTAAGACTCGAGGACAATAATTGTGCCGCCATAAATACCCAGTACCGTCAAAAGTGGTATTTACCGACGGTTCGCTACTCCTTTCGGCCATAGTAATCTTACCACACCGCCAGTACGAATGCATGATTTTTGAGCTTAATAACGTCTTCATCATCGTAGAAACTCTTGTTCCATGTATCGGACGGACAGCAATGCCTTAACACTTCATGGCTGGTGACTTTTCCAAACAACAGTTATCACCATGCACTTGTCGAGAGTGCTACGAAGGTGGAAGGCCCCTGATGAGATTGAAGTTGTGGACATATTTTTTCTTCACATGACTGTGCAATCGGCACTAATAAGGAAAAATGACGGGGTGGGGTTGGGCGATGGTTGCGAAAAGACCAGATATGAAAAATAATCACCGAAGGGTTGCAGCGATAAACATAATAGCATGACAACGAATAAGTACTCAGGATAATGACGCATGAAATGCAAAGGTAGAAAAGTCGAGAATGGTGCACTAGCCCATCTGCAGAGAGTGCAGAAGATCTGTAGGGCGACTCACGTATAGAAACGATCTGAACTAGTCGAGGATTTTCCGAGTCATTTCAGGGTAGGGTCCCCTCAGGCCTACAAGCACGACGCTGATTTGAACACCCGATTAACTATTTGGTGCTCAATTTCTTAAAAACTCAACACGCACTTTTGCTCCACTGAACATGGTATGTAAGCAGACATGACCAAAAAATGTGCAATGCAGTAAAGCAACCGCGTCTAAACCGTCAAGCCCAGCTCATGGGCTTGAAAAGCCTGCAGCGATTTTAGCGGCTCACTGGACACTCTGCAGCCATTGGCGAGCATTCTACTCATAAAACACCCCAGCTTGCGTTTTTGTAGCCACGAATTAAGGCACAACTGACCAGCAATTCATGGAACAAATGTGAATAGAAAAAGGATGTTTTTCAAAACTTAGCTGTCAACATTTATGTGTGCCCAGGTAGGTGAAATTTCAGCGTTAGTTTTTGCATGCTGGTGCTGATTGCAGTTGTTTGATTTGCCTTGCATTCGCTTTTTCATGTATTTATTAAAGTTGCTTGATTTTTCTCCCAAGGTATGGGTTGTCGCATACTTTCGTAGAACCGTCTGAATGACCAAGATAATTTCGTCGTGAACACAGAGGATTTTATACCCTAAATCAAGAAGATTGCATATGTTGGTCCAGATTCTTGCAAAACGTGTCGGGTCGCGAATTTACCCATCCAGCTGGGATACCCAGGCTTCACTTGTCCCCTAAAAAACTATAATTCCCGGCTTACACAAAGCACAACGTGGATCCCATCTTGACATCCGTGTGACGCTGAGAGTGAGCTGAGCATCTCTGGCGGCGTGCCATTGGCCTGCAGATAAGCCTCCCCTCCCTAGATAAGCCCCCCCCCCCCTCATGTCCCCAGGACTGGCGGCGCGCGTAATCTGGTGCGACTTCCCTGGTCCCGCGACGTAAGCTCTATTCCCATAGCGACGCCATGGAAACAGAATAAATAGCGACGCTCGAGCCATGGGCGAGCCGCGGATATTGCGGGTGATGTCGAGTTTTTTTTGTGGCTGGATCTGTGGGACTAAAGGCGACGTTGGAGCAGACACCCGTGCGCTATTTTGTTTTTGCGTTGTTGACGAATCCCCAATATTCGCGCAGTGCTTACAGGCTTTGGTGATGTGACTCGCGAGATGCATGACGTAATCTACAGTCAAGTATGGTAGTATTTCGACGCTCAGACTGCAGAGCGCCCGCAGAACATGTCAGTGCAAGCCATCTGGCCACAGACGAGAAACTGGCACCAACGCTCGCCACTGCAAGAAATTGTGAACGCCACTGACTTTATGATAACACCATCTTTTGCCGCACCAACGACCCACCTCCTGCTCCGTCTTTATTGCAACTTCACCACGTGTTAGTTTGCTTGGGCGTCGTTGGGGGCCAGAGTTCTTGGTAAAAAAGGTTCGTTACGGGCCCATAGCTCGCCCTCCATTGGGCACTGCACTGGGGGCCTCCCTCGTCGTTACGGGCCCATAGCTCGCCCTTCATTGGGCACTGCACTGGGGGCCTCCCTCGTCGTTACGGGCCCATAGCTCGCCCTCCATTGGGCACTGCACTGGGGGCTTCCCTCGTCGTTACGGGCCCATAGCTCGCCCTCCATTGGGCACTGCCCTGGGGCTTCCCTCGTCGTTACGGGCCCATAGCTCGCCCTCCATTGGGCACTGCACTGGGGCTTCCCTCGTCGTAACGGCGGCTACGACATGCTACAGTGGGATTACAGTCACGTGACGCCGTGCTCCCAAGAGGGCGACGGCGAGGCGTCACTGAATTCATCAGGCTGTACATCACCGGCCCCGCTCCACCATCGGCCACACACCATCGGCTCCGCTCCACCATCGGTTACACCCCACCTGCTCCGCTCCACCATCGGTTACACACCACCGGCTCCGCTTCCTCCTCCGTTGCCAAGTGCTCCCGCCAGTATTTTACGCTGCTTTTAGCTATGTGATTCTGGAGTGGTCTGCACCTTCTCCTCGGTAGCTTTGAAACCTCAGGGCAACGAAGCGCCAAAGTGTCAAAAAATGCTCTGTAGGACGTTGCAATGATGCGCTTTCTCTCACAGAACAACTTGGTTAGATCAGTTCAATCACGGTTCTAGGTTCCCTGGGTGCCGAGATATGGCATAAAGCGTGTAAACCCGTGGAAAAGAGCAAAACCCACCTTCCTGGCTCGTGTGAGCCCGATACGTGTAACGTGCCGCCCCGCACTTGCGACACATGTGACCATGGGATTTATAGTTCAATGGCCTATCGCAGCATGCCAGTATCGTGTTACTACGTGCCATAAGAGCGGAAATCCCGCGTAAAGCGTAAAAATGGACATCATCGGCAAAGTGCAGTCTCACAGCTAATGTGCACGTGTCACATGCCACGTGCAGTGTGACATCGCACACGCCTCAGTGATTGCCCGTTAGACCACCTATCGAAGCATGCCAGTCGTTGTGCACTTTATTCCCTGGTTTCTGAGATATCACGAGAACGTGCAAGCCCTTCAAAAGACCAAAATTGTGCAAATATATAGCTTAACACATGGGCGCCATGACATCTGGCACGTGTCACCAAACATCATCTCGCTCCTTCCATTGATCATTTAAGCGCGCCAATCCCGGGTGTGTTAGTGCCATAGGTGCCGAAATGTGCACAAAAGGTGCGAATCCGTGGAAGAGAGCAAAATCCATCTGTGATCCCGTGCCTTGTCATACGTATGACCGTACCATTTCGATTCTTAAAACTTGACATCTTGCAAGTTGTGCAATTTGCAACGCAACGGTGCGTTGCAGAAACTCGCGATGCAACTTAAAGTGTACCCGCGTCAATTGTAAATGTTGGGGAAACAAAAGCCACGCCTGTGCGCGCACGGCGACCGCAACGCACAGCGCGCCGCCGACTGTCATGCCTCATCCGAAGCCATCCCCTTGCACGACCAGCCCGCCGGCCTACTGCCGGGCAGACTGAAAACACGCCCGAATGTTCGCTCTTTAGTATGAAGCGTGGCTAACTGAACACAGTCAAGAGCCGGCCGCGGGAACGGCCATTGAGGCCTTGACGCCCAGGTCGTACGCCGGGAGTCGGGGTAGCAACTTGCCCCGCCGTCGCGGCGAAAATGCCGTCATACAACCCATTGGTCTAGGCCCATTTGCGAGCGGCAGTTTTTAAAACGCGTTCAACAAAAGAGTGCATCAGAAATGGGATGAATGGACCGACACGCTGATGTAGTTTGCAACGCTAGATCACGCAAAGTTTTGACGGTAGCGGCTTGTTTTCAGCTTTGGTTTTGAAAGCTCGGCCGGTTGCAACTTGTAATGCAATTTGCAGCGCAACGGTGCGCTGCACACGCTTGCGACACCCACTGAAAATGTAGCCGCTTCAATTGTGAGTGTTGGGAAACAAAATTCAGAGCTCTACTCTCTTTCCGTGCCGAGATATGAAGGTAAACGTAAAACACCGTCAAAAACCGCCAATTTCAACTTATCAACACGTGTGCACGTGCCACGTGTCATGTGACGCACAAAACTCACTTGAGTACGATGGCCCATTCCGTGCGCTATCGAACTGTGCAAGTTTTAGGTCGCTGCGAGCGCTGGTTATCGAGATACGGCTCCGGGAAGCGATGCGTGTTGGACCGTCGGCCGGCAGTCTTTTTGAAACTGGTGTCGCCAGTGTTAACCCGAGGGGATTTCTGTGTTTTTTTCGGCACGCACTCATTTTTTTCAAAATGCGAAAATTTGACGCGACTCTGTAAAGCGCAGCCGGCACATCTCGGCAGTATGCAAATTTCATGCTAAAACTCCTGACCGTTATGCGTGGAGGTCTACAGACGGACACGCACAGGCAGACACTGTTCCTTTAGTAATGTAGAGAAGATTGTGTGCCACTGGATTAGAAAGCAGATATGTCGCAGTGAAAGCCTCTCAAAGATCAGTATTCGTCCACCTTAACACAAGAAAGCGTTTGAAACCGGCCACATATAAGACAGTAGTAATAGCCTTGTTACTCAGAAAAACCAGGAGAGTG